AAATAACATCGTCGCCCTAAAACGACCGCGGACGCACGTGGATGGAAAATTGACCAATGAGTGACTGGCGAGCGTGGGGACGCTCGATGGCTCCCTTTCGGTATAAATGCATCGTCTTGTCCGCTGTACAGATCATACTGAATCCAACAGTGTTCTAGAACAGTCACAACTAGTTCTCAACGTTGTTTTTTTTATTTTTCATCAGTGTTTTATTACTTATCACCGTTCAATTCAAAAATGGCGTTCATACAGGTCAGTATAATATAATATAATAATTACTAAAAATATATATTGTACCTAATGTATAGTAATACTATAATAGTGGTTGCTGATTTCGGCTAGTGATATTGAAATATTACCTGGTTACTTATTCATCTTATGATTTTTATTTTTATCTTTTCTATACATACATATTTTATACCTATAAAGTATCGAGGTATATTATATAGGTAGCTAGTTCAATAGTTAAATTACAATTTTATAAGTGTATGCAGTACGCAGCATTAAAAATGTAAGCCTCTATAGGTATGTTTTGCACCTACATTTATCGCCACTATAGTGACGTATTTATACATAAATAATAAAAAGTTTATTTGATTTTAAACGTTATAGTTAAACAYCACTACAGAAACTTCACAGTTTTTTTTTATTTTTGAACTGTTGTGAAGGATTAATTTTTTCTACCAATATTTCTTCAAGTCCGCATGCGTTAAAAATATAATAATCTGCTGTCGGTTCAAACGGAAAAAAAAAAATATAATAATAATTTCAATATTTAATTTCCATAAGATACCTAAGTATATATTATTAATTCTTAAATCTGATACCCATACCTAAATATCATTATTATTTATAAAATGTATTATAATAATATGCTTAAATGTTATGTTTTTACTGATGGGGAAATTWACACAGTACCTTTAAACTTGCATGTTGGAAGTCTGAAACAATTATATACGGTGTTAGGCTTAGGGGATGGCTATAAAATATAAAACACTGTTATTGACGGAGTGTGTGGTTAGTTGTATCAGAGACTTTAACGCCTAAGCTGAATTCAAGGGATTATTTATTATTCGGTACAATTCGAAATATATTTATTCTCATTTACACTGCGTAGGTATAATAAATAATGTAGTTATACCTACTTGGTATGAAATTTTAGACATAGTGAAAAAAAGTTATTCAAACTTTACCAATGCAATGTATAATATTTTAATGTATGATTGTGCTATATGCAACACGTATTTGATAYGAATATATTATATATAATATATATATAACGAATTCGCGATATATTTCTGGGTTCATGATGTATACATTTTTCCAACGATATATTCTTTAATCCTCACTCGTTTTAGAGCGAATAAAATGCATATACGGTTATTACACAATAAAACATCTTACASTATTCGAAGTATTTTACGATCTCGCGCAGTGTATCCACATAATATATAGATATATTTATCCTATATATAATACGCAATCATTAGGGAATTCAATTCGTAATCACGAGAAAAATATAATTTCGAGCGCATTGTTTGTACACGACATACATATACATATACATACTATTATATATGTATATAATATGTATATTATTTTTGACTTTCTATACGAATTCTCACGGCGGCGGCGTTACGCGCTCGCCGGGCGCGAGTCTGTCACACCGCAGCTCACACATTTATATAGACACAGTAATATGGTATTATATATTTATATATATATATACACATGTGACCGTTGCAATAATATGAATATACGTTTGCGTCCGATTTTCCGCGTGTTACAATTAATAAAAGATCATCGGCGACGACGACGGGCGATTGCGTAACACGCGTTGACCGCGTTTTCTCGCGACTATATAACCCAATTATCGGATTCATTTTTCACGTCCATTGTGCGTGCTTGGCCGCCGTGCCATTGTCGTGCGTGCGAAGGAATAAAAAAAAATAATTACATCCATACTATATATATATATATCTTATACCTGCAGTATACTATACATACTGCAGTGTGCGCTTCTCGCGGGCGGCGCTAAATATCTACATGCATATACTATTATACTATATATACATATTACCGTATCCTTATACATAATATATATACACACGCGTTCGTGATCAAACCCGWCTCAATAAATTCCGCACACATACATTTAAATACGTACGAACATATACACCGCGCGTAATGATGTGTATATATTAATAATATATATATGCGCGATCCGATCATCGAGCACGACTCGGCGCGAACGATAGGTCCTCGGCCGTTTTTCGCTGTGCCATCGTTGACTCGATGTATAAGCGCACACGAAACGGCGGCACGTATTTACCTAGGTATATACGTAAATAATTATTATGATTTATATTATAAACACTATACGATTATGCTGCAGCAGTAGTAGGAATATGCTGCACTGCAAATCGATTATGATTAGGTATATACCTACCTCCGACAGCGGCTGGTGCAGCGGTGCCTTATGACTTGAATAGGTATAATATATTATTCTGAAGGCACCCCAAGCGATGACGTGCTTACCTACCGTCTGTATAGATAAAGGGTCGGAAAATTTACCTAACCAATGATTTTCGTGCAGACGACGCGTTATTTTTGTCGAAACTCGCAGTCATTATWCGCTGTGGTAGTCTAAATATATATGACAATTATTATACAGTTATGAACAAGCAGCTGTCCTGTGAATATTATTCCACATAGAAGTATAATGCACTGTATTATGATCAATTATATAATGCACTATATTTACCTGCGTAAATGTAAAAGAAATGACTATTGAAMAATTTGAAATCTTAATTTTCTGATAAATAATGTCGAAATGTATATTCGTGTTCGTTTGGCAGTGCACACTCGCCGCTCTCCTGTTGCATGTGGCTTGCGGAAACTACCTGGCTCACCGTGCTGCCGCTTACCACGGCGGTGCAGGAATCGGTTACCACCACGGTGTCGCACCTGCTGCTTACCACCATCACGGTTATGAAGAGGCCCCGTCTTATGACTACGCCGCGTACCCGGCTTACTCGTCAGCCAGTACCTACCAGGCCGACTACCCCAGCTACTCCTCGAAACCCGTCGACTACTACGTGAGTGATGCACATGGTGCAATACATATTATTACATCTAGTATAATTATATTAATTTTTAATTAATCATAAAATGCATAACAATAATGGTAATCAACTGTGGCCGATTCGATGAAAAAACACCATGGACGTTAAAATCACCTAACCTCACATTCATAAGCATTTTTCTGATCATCATTGAGGTTTCGATCATACTGATTTCGTATCTAGTTTAAATTAAATCTAAAGAAATAAAACATTAACTTGAAAAAAAAAACCTAAAAATTTCGTCTTTCCTGAGATAAAAACATTTTGCAGGTTGATGTATAACGCTATTTTAATTATTGATCAATAATTAACGATGATTCGTAGTATAATTATGTAAGTATACAGAATTGTATTACCTCGGATGTACATGATTTCGTTATAAATTTCGATTTTTCACACAGTGATTGGTGTTATCCTTATATATATATTGGCGTATCGATAAATGTTTGTTTAAAATTGTAGCAATATGTATTATTCATGTGTATATGCTTTTTATACAAACGCGTTTGTCAATCGAACCTCTACARCCGATCGCCACCAAAGGTAGGGTGAAAAACCTATCACCGTGTCTCTCCCACAATATTATATTCTCGCTTCACTATAACATATTATACAATATTACGTCGTTTTTATCGTGTCTTACACGCGGAATGTGGCCACATCATAACGCTGGATCGTTGTTGCAGTCGCCACCCAAGTACTCCTTCAACTACGGCGTGAAGGACTACCATACCGGTGACGTCAAGGACCAATGGGAAGAGCGAGACGGTGACGTTGTCAAGGGTGAATACAGCCTGGTCGAACCAGACGGTACCACACGCAAAGTCACGTACACCGCCGACGACCACAACGGTTTCAACGCGGTCGTACACAAGTCCGGCACTGCCCATCACCCAACCCATGTCGCCCACGCACCAGTCTACCACCACGCTTACCGCCGTTGAGATCAATTAAAACAATAAACTGTTCGGTCACCATCGTTACCATACGTTATATCATTAGGTATTAATGTTTTTTTTTCTTTTTCTAGGCATACGTTTATATTATAAGCGTATAACGTTAATATATAATATATTATATAGCATATATCTAATAATAGTTTTTACCCATACCAAATCAAAAATATAAAAACACACCCATATATATATATTATATAGGAGTTACCTATACTTGAATATATTATTTTCTTTTTCTTCTCTTTCGTACAGTATATATATATATGTTGGTACAACGATCTTAGTATAATATTTTACTCTATATATACTATCGTATCGACTAATATCGATTTTTTTCGTTTCAATTTGTCGTTTTTCGCTGAAATATACATAATTATATTATTATTTTTACAAGCATTATATAAATTAAACTATATTTATATATTATACGGCCCTTCGCTTCGTCAATGATCTCTTTTCGATATAATAATTATTACACGRTAACCGGATAACCCGACGTACCTGCTATAGGTCGTATACCTAATATATGGTTTCGAATTTATAATATATCAATATATATTTAGAATGAGAAACTTTTTTTTTTACTTTAAAATCATTTTTTATTTGTTTTTTTACACGGTGTTTTTTTTTAAAATTTAATTCTCTACTATTTTATTATACATTCAAATTTGTTATTAATTTTTACACGCATTCAAGAATTGTATACCAAATATTGGGTATAATATTTCTCGATTGTTAAAAATGTTGTAGAAAACATATATCATACTTGAAATATTTTTGTATACTTTTTACTTGACCATCTATTGTACTCTGTTTTGTATATAAATTTTATAATTGCTCATAATATATCTAAAACATATATATTTACATAATTGTRTATTTTTATTGGATTATTTTTTGATTACTGTAACTATATCAATATCAAAGTGAATATAGATCACGCCGATACAGGTTAGAAATTATAATTACAAATTAGGTAACTACGATAGTACGACGAGACACAAACGAAGAATTATTTAACATGCAAATAACAATCAGTTATATAGAAATTTAAATAAAATTTGCTTATTTTAATAAATGTCACAAAAAATCGCAAAAACAACAATTAAAACTAATTTTAATTCTGAATTCAGAAGCATTGAGAAATATATACTGTGTATGTATCAATTGCTTAAAATCTCAATAAATAGGTATATTATGTTTATAATGTATATAATACAATTTAAGGTAATAATTTTTCAATCACATTTCAAAAAAAAATATAATTTAATAAAAAAAGTGATACAACACTATCATCACTACAGATAGTATAATACCAATTGTATATATATATATATATATATGAACATAAACCATATAAGCACACTTAAATATATTATATAAATGCATGGAAACAAATATAGAATAACTATAATGCAGTAAACCGTACTTGGGCACACGGAATCGTGCGCGTTTTGTATCGAATTCAGAATATTTGTATTTAAGGTTTGCCTCCATAATACATCGTCGTACATATAATATGTATTATAAAATCTATAGACTATACATATAGTATATACGCTTGCAGCAGACACGCAGATAATAATATAAGGCAGGTATATGGGCAGGGTAGCTATATTATGGTGCCTGTATTATACATTATTTTCTTATCATTCTCGTCGTGTGACTGTGACCCTATCACAATGACGCTTTATAAATAAACAAATATTTCGTAACGATCAAATAGCACGGGGACGGTTGTCACGAACGCGCAAGGCGATCGGACACGACGCAATAATAATAATAATAGTAATAATAATAATAATAATAATGATAATATAATGTATAATATATTATAATGCTTTCGCAGCGGTTGTATGTAGTGGCGGGGAAGAGAAGCGTATTTTCCGCGCTGATGTACGAAGTTGAATTTTTTTTACGTTTGGCGATGAAAATCGAAAGTCCACGTTATATTATAGTTATTATACACAAGCCGACGTATATACGTGAAATTATGACATGACATGAAGTGTGCCCGTCTAAACTTGTTTTTTTTTTTATTTCTGAAGTTCCTAGGTAATGATCAACAAATAAATTTAAAATTTCATTTGCAATTAATTTCAATAGATTTTCAATAATTTTCCGGAAAAAATTTGACAATGTGGCGTTACCAATTTCTGGCAGACTTCATGTCTTATGGCGCGTGGTTTAGACATWTTAGCGCTGTGATTACAGGTTATAATTGATAATATTGACCAATGATTGTAATTTTTCAATAGCTACATCGTGCGCGCTTTTATTAATGTAATAGTTAGGTAATAGCGATTAGGCTGTGGTATGATACGACACGCYGGATAAATGAAAATAGTTAAATACTTGCTAAACATCGATCACCGTAACGAAACGAATAAAAAAAAGATTAAATCCGTGACATAACACATAAACGATGATCCCATCATATTTGTAAKACGTGCACGCGAGTACCTATATTGCCTATACGTTACGCCGTGTTCAAAAACACCCACACAACCAATACGTAATATTATTATTATTAATTTGAGTTATTCAACGTATTTCATTTACATTTATTTTTTAATTACCAACTGTGAAAATTTAATTTTAATTTCTTTTTTTTTACAGTGTAAAAAACTTAGAATAGTCACACGACTGAAGTAATCTGGACCTTGGTTTTGATATTTAATTGTGTATTGCGTAGGTATATATTAAAATCTAACTCTTACCATGATTTCTTGACTGAGGTGCAGTTGTAAATTGATTTCTCCGAAACACTTGGTTGGCTGGGTAGGACGTGTCAGTGTGTGACCTTGTCCATCCAAAATGACGCCATGTTGAATCTGAATGATATTGSTATTACTTGGTAAATTATAGTTATTCAATTCTAGGTTTTAATTAGGTAGTTATCTTTGACAGTCTTCTAAGCACACACTAATCATTTATACATTATTATAATTGGCAAAATTATTTTTCTATTTAATTATTATGTAACATTATTATTTGTTACAAACAAATATAAAACTAAATTTTTATTAATCTGATCCTACAATGATAGGATCAGAATGATCGCCTACACAAGAATTATCGATATAAATATGACTAAGTTTAATATTTCGTGAGTTTGGTTTAACACTCTACCATAGTGCATGTTATCATTTCAATCAAAACTGATGTATTTTTTAAATGTTATGAATCCATAATAGAGTTAAAATTTATTTAGGTTACCTTGTTCAGACCAATTTTGACTCTAGGCAGTGATTACTACAATGGCAATTTATTATATACTTTTCTTTGAAGTTTGTTTTACACAAAAATGTAAAATTAATTATTTAAAATAAAAACTACGAGTATAAGAAATTGTCTTTTTTTGCACAGTGAAATTATTTAAATATGGTTGGTTATTGATCAATAAATATTTTTATACAGCATCTATTCAAAACATATTTATTCAATTTAGATGAATCTACATAATCACAATTTTAGTTTTAATAAACATCAATATAATATATATTATAATTTATAATCTTTTAGATATTTTTAATAAAAATGAATTTATTGCATATATTGATAGAGTATTTAAAAAAAACATAACATGATAATATGTGGTCATCAAATTAAGTAAAAAAAAAATAATAACTTAAGAAACTTACTGATAGCAGTTCAAAATAACTAAAAATTTATCTGAGTACATAAATTTACTTCAAATAAATACCATTGTTACGTAAATTGAACTAACTTAGCAAAAGATATAATACAAAATTTGTACATTATAAAAATTTTTGTTTGAATACAAAATAAATCATAAGAACATCCAAAACCAAAAAGATTCAAGTTAAGTACTTATAAATTAGTGTATTCTAGTTAAATCTTCAACCAGTTTGATRACATCATCTAGAGTGATCTTTGTATCTTTTGAAATCTTCTTAAAATCATGATCATAGGCTCCCTGTAATATAAAAATGTATAGTATTATACTATATTTGTTAGATAAATACATAAATTACATATAGTAATAAATTTAAGTTTGTTAAATTGTTCTGTTAAAACAAATTAAAATACATCATTTTACAACAGGTATTAATTTATTAATTAGATCCTATAAATCCTATGAGTACATACTGTATTTACATAATTGTTATACTTTTCAAGAAAATTTTTAGAGATATGTACTAAAAATTGTGATACAATGTAATCAATACACATTTAAAACTTTTGAACATATTTAGTACTTTATTGAAACATTTGAAAACAAAAAATGTTCAAGTTTTCTTAATTTCACATCTCTAATTGTAATTAAGTTGACTATTTCATTTTTCCATACAATAAACTATCATTATAAATAACATGAAAGAATAAAATTTTAAATGAGCTTAATAAAGACTTAATTAAGCAACTGACAAAACAAAATAAGGTATTATAATATTGAAGCACACATTTATCAAAAATCAAATAGAAGAGATTATTAGTACATTTAAATTTTAATGTATGGTTTATTTAAAATCCCTTTTTGCAAGCACAGCAAAAAATATATTTCATTTTAACAATATAATATGTRCAGTTTTTGTTTTCATTGCTACTTTTAAAAATAATTAAGTCTAAGATTTCGGACATTTTTTCTGATATATTTAGTTTTTAAGGAAATAAACAGAAGTATCATACATTGAATATACAGTATATGTATATTATTGTATAATACAATAAACACATTCTACACTAAGTTCTTGAAATAGCATTATTAATGATTTAATGGTAATCTGTGATAGGTTACAGACTATAAATAATTTTTGAAAAGTTTAAACATCAAATAACAGTGGATCAATGCATATACCAAGACAAAATAGATTTTAGTATAAATATTAAATATAAATAATTCATCAAAAGTTAATAATTATATTACAATACCTGGAGTTCGTCAACAACTTCCATCATTTCTTTTTTTGACAAATCTAAAAAGCTTTCAATTAAATCACCATCCACAAATGATTCAGAAGGTTCAGTTCTTATTTCAGTATGATAGCTTCGCCAAAACTGATGATTAATTTTTCCTACTCCTTTAATCACAGTAGCTAAACTCTTTTCTAAATCGGACAGAAAGTCAAACATTTTGGGAGTCAACTGTGTCACCAACC